CACCCATCATCTTAGCTGAACCAACACATCTATTTATTTCCTTTGTAATTAAACAAATATGACTTTGTGAAAGGAAACAAGGGCTTTCCAGAAATCACCATGTAACTATTCACCTAAACCCTTCCATTTCCTATTAATATCCTAAGAAATTTGCTTTGTAATAATCAACCTTTGATCATTTATACAAGTGTGAGAGTTATCTCCTTTTCCTTAATCATTTTGTGACTTTATCCACTTATCAAGTGTCCTTACTTGTGGCATCAATCCCTTTATTCTTTACATTACTAATTATGGTTCCTAGATCTCATATCTAGTGGGTCCAAGTCCTTGTTTACCACACCTTGAGAGAGCATATAAAGTATGGGTCTTTACTTCATAGTATAGGTTCTTCTTTGAGTCTTTCTTCAAGATACCTTCATCATATCGCTACCATTATCTTCCATTTCTTTCATAAATCATCCTCATGCTTAACATCACTTAGAACAACCCTTCACTTCATATTTAAAGCCCACCTCCAGCACCCCCTACATCAACTGTCCAAGTCACTCTTATTTGAAGCCATTCACTTACTTTGCAGGTTGTTTGTTTCCTTCCTAGATCCACAATTAAACGTAGGTCTCCCCTACATCAATTAAGGAAATTATGAATATTATGAAAAAATTTATTTAGGAGTTTTCAACTTTTCCTAACAACAGAAAAATTATCTTAAGAATTTCACAAAGAAATTTCAACAACTCTTTAGGATAAACAATTTCTTTTATTTCCTCTATTTAATAGTATACTCAATGGATGCAAACCATCTTTTTACTAGCACTAGTGTCTATCTTTGTTTCAATCATAATATTCAGTATATTATCCCTAAAGAGACCATCCCATATTTATTTACTATGACTAAATTTGGTATTCCACTCAACCAAATTAATCTATACTCTTTTAAATTATTCACTAAGTTCAATGAGAGTTTAAATTGTCATGGTATTTTATAAATTAGAATAGTGAGCATAGTAATGAACAATTCATCAAGTGGGTTTCTATGAAAGAGAGGTGGTGCACTAGGCACACTTAAGTACCAGATCTTTATAGAACCAACCCTAGACATGCACTTTCACACTCATCACACTACTTTTCAATATATCATTTATGAATTCTCTCTTTGTTTAATTAATGTCTCTTTAAAGAATTATGCTTGATACTTTAGTCACAATAGGATCTTATCAAGCATACACATTTTGGGTTCATTATTACTGTAGCTTTAGCCTTATTCCTTTTACTAGTGATTTATCTCATTTCACAATATTTCCACTAAAAATTAAAGACTAAATTAAAAGCTCAATTATTTTAATTCATGTATTTAAAAAGCATAAATTAACAGGCATTAAGTCTAAATAATTGGGCTTCGCATGTAGAATCATAATTCCCAAATAGACTTGTTCACTCTCACCATATTTGTAACTTCAATCCATGCATCATCATCTTCAACCAAAAAGGGCCAAAATCTATCGTGGCACTCACCTCATTTAAATTAACATCTCTCTTGAATCTGTTAATTATGCACTCAAATAATTATTTTACATCATTAGTCTAAAAATAATAATTCACTAACAGTAATAAATAATTGATTTAATTTTATATTGAAATATTATCTTTTCAATCATGTCTCTTCATTCCTATTTTATCAATTTCTTCTTCAACTCAAAATAATCTTTGGCGAATAAATTTCTAATTATCGCATTACCTTTATAAATTTCTTTAAAAAAATTATTAGTAAGACACAAAACATGGTATATGACCATAAAATTTACCAATGGTATTAACAACAATACCTTAAAAAAATTAAATAGCAATTAGTATAACTGATAATATTCACTGCTTTAAGCAAATTTTTTAATTGCTATTAATTATAATCATCATACGGATCATCAACTGGAACCTTTAAAAATCATTTAAAGCTTGTCAGACACGCAAGGATAATACAAAAGAATGACTCAAGCATATATTCGTCTATAGAAAACTAATTCGTATAAACCAGAGGACTTTTTCTTATCCTTGCTTCAACACGTTTAATGACTATAAAGTTTTAACAAAACCATATTAGTAAAATGATCTTTAAAGATTCTAAGCTTTATGAACAATTCATTAAATATATACTCCCTCTGGCCCACTAAAATTGTCCTTTATTAACTTGTTAAAAGTTAAAAGTTAAAAGTTAAAAGTTAAAGTTTTTAAACTTTAACCACAATTATTTTAAATATTTAAAAAAATAAAATTTTATAAAATATATATTTCAAAACTACTTAATTGAAGGTTTTTAAAATGTATTTTTCATATTTTTATCAAATAATAAAATTTAATAATAAAGAGTCAAAAATCAAAAAATTTAACTAAAAGGTAAAAAATGGACAGTTTAAGCGGGACGGATGTAGTGTGTATATATATATATATTCATAATCTTTAAACACCGTAGCTGTCAAACTAATTAGGCTTATTTCAAAAATAAGTGTTCGAACTATGTATTGAAAAATGTTTTAGTGTCTAAAAATATTTTCGTTGAAAATAGGGGTCTAATGTTTCAAACGATATATTTTTAGGTGTCTGGACGTTAATTGCCGTTAAATATCTCCGTTAAGTGATACGTGTTACGTACTGATAATTTTGAGAATTATTTTTTTTAAAATATTTTTGTAAAAAAAACCACCCCTGCGTGCTCTCGTTCTTTCCCCTTCCCCTTTTCCTCCTAAAAGACGTCGGCCAGCCAGCGCTTACCATCAACGCCACCATCATCATAACCGACGTCGACTTCCGATCAAACCTCCGTTGGCTTTCATCGTAATATGCTATCGTTTGACATGGAAAAGCATTCAAAGGTTCATCGGATTTTACGCCACCATAGTCGTTGTTCATCGATTCCGGCTGATTTCGATGTCCATAAGCTACATTGCCGCCACCATTCAAACCATCGTGTTATTTTGATCAAAACCCAATTGTTCGACGACGACGATGATGGCCGGAGACTGTTTGAGTTAAGAAATTAAAATTGAGAATTAGATATTTGGATATTGGGGATTTTAGATTTAGGGATTTTGAAGGACGAAGATTGATCAATGGGTGGGTGGCAACGGGTTGATGATTGTTCAAAGATGACAATGGTGGCCGAAGATGGCCAGCGATCATTGGTAATGGGATTGAAATGAAAGATTTTAATTTTTTTAGGGTTTTTATTACAATTTCAGTAAAAGTTGGGTTTTTATAAATAAATTAATTTTTTTAATTAATAATAAAATTTTTATTATTTAAAATTAAAAAGATAAACGACAAGCACCTAAAATTATAAAAGAGAAAATGTTAGACACTTAATTTTAACGAAAAATTCTTTAGATACTAAAATATTTTTCGAGACATAATGTGAATACTTATTTTTATATTAAACCTACTAATTACTATAAACAGTTTATAAACTTTTATAGTCTGATAAAATTCTATGACATAGCTTTTCATTATAAAACTTTAACCGAGACTTCTATAACGTTTATAAATCTTTATGTCCCCTTTAAACATACCAAATACTCATAATTCTACCAACTGTTTTTTTTATACAAAAAGTCACTAATTTTATTAAAATAGAAAATATCTAGAATTACAATGAAGATTTACATGTATAACATAAACGTGAAATAAACAAAATTATAATTAGTATATTTTCCTATAACCATTAACACAAAAACTAGCCACCTAGATCACACAATGACCAAATAAGAAAAATGTTAAAAAATGTAACCAAAAAGCTCGGACAAAATAAAGATATGAACAAATCTGATTGCAGCGGCAAACAAATCACAAAAGAGGATGAGGTTATTGAAGGTCACTGATAAATCGCAAATCAGAGTCAAACGACGTGAAAAACTACCCACGAATGCAAAATGCGTATCCAAATCAATATGAGGTCCAAAGTAAAGAAGATATCATTATAACAAATAAGCGTTATCTTGATCAACTGTGACAATGTCAAGTCCAACCATGAGAAAAAAGATAAACGAAAACAACAGTAAAATTCTGTAAACTACCAAAAAGCAGAGAAAATTTGTCACAAAGACAGAGATAAATGTGCCACAATAACAGAGATACATGTCACAAAGACATAATTATTCTTATTAAAAAACTAAAAAAAAATAAAGAAAACTGACGGACTACAACTAACATCAAAACCGATGTCGCCGTAGGTTAAACAAAATTAAATAAGAAAAAAAGTTGAATAAATTAATAAAATTGACATAAATTACAAAAAAAAAAAGAGAGAGAAAGGAAAGAAGGTTCTACCAACTGTTTTTATAATGCCTAACTTTTAAACTCTTAAATATTTTATATTAGACTTTTATATATAACGTTTGGGAAAAAAGCGTTCCGTAAGTTTTCAACCGTTTGTCTAACTCAAAACTAAGGCATTATAAAACAATATTTTAATAAAAACCATTTTGAAAACTGCTTTAATGACCCCAAAAGAAAACCAGAAGCAGATCAAAAACATGCTCTCCAATCCCAGTAAATTCACCAAAACATTTACTGAAGTTGCATGTTATAATGATATATAGTTGGCAGATAATAAAATAATTTAATTAATTCTATTGAAAGAAAAATTAATCAAATTTGAAATAAACGATTATGATACTGAATAAGATCATAATCATCCATAATTCATATCAACCTGCACTTAGCTGTTCATAATCATCTGCCTATAAAGTTATAAATTTATTATTAAAACAGACGGTTTTGGCAAACATTAATATTTGTATAATGAACAATAAGAAATAATTTGAGATACATACCAGTATCTCATATTAACTTCGGTAACCAACAACTACGAAGAGTCAAACTGACAATTCATTCCCATCGTGAGAACTGCCATCAAGTTTCAACAGCAGTTATGAATTCGATTTTAAATTATTGGAAATTAGACTACTGCAAAACAAAGTAATAGCTTTGACTGAAAAATACTAAATAAATTTTCTCTCCATCTTTTGTCACTGCCATATCAGTAGCTCCTCCTGTAGTACCAACAGTCGCAAATGTGTCTTACATACCAGTCAACTCACCTATGGTAGCTGTTGCTGGTTCTCATCCAGAGGTTGGAATGGGCACTTTTGCGCCTCGTTCCTCTACGCCTTCTAAGTTTGTCTCTTATGGTAACATATCAGCTGCAACTGGTGTCAGTTGTTCTCAGTTTTCTCAACCTGTATTTTTTTTATAAGCTTTTGTGGTTTCAAATAATCTCAGTCTTAGATATTTTATTGTTTCTCATTTTATCATCCAAAGTTCTTCCTTGAGGACTAGAAAATTTACTTGGTTGCATTTGAAATCTGTCAAGCTGTATATATATTAGCGTTCTATTTCAAACCATAAGCTATTGATCAATATTAATTTGTTTAGCTTTTAATTGTGTCGCTGCTCAATTTCTAATGCAACAAAAGATTTTTGTCACTTGGCTGTTGCCTGTTTGAGTCTTCATATGATGATCATGTCAATCATTCTTGGACTATAAGAGTTGTTAATATGTGCATTGGTGAAGTATTTCAAATCCCTATTTTATTACTAATATTGGTTTCATTTTTTGGCTTTAGATTGTTGGGCATATGGGAAATAGAACCCAGCCACTTAGATACGCTGGTCAATATCATCCTGTTCAGGCTGCAACGGCATATTTGAATCCAAACTCACAGCAGTAAGCAAAAGAAGGAACTTGCTTCGGTCCCTTTATTTGCCTGCGTAGGCGGAGCAGGAATTTAGATAGTCGTTTTAACGTTGATAAACTAGTCATTTTGATTTACTAATCTCTCTTTATCTGTTCCTTTTGATTTTCTAGGTTATGTTTGGACATGGACAGCTGATTTGCTTACCTGTTTTTCATGTAAGATGATCAACCTGCAGACAAAAGAAACGACATTGTTATATCATTAAAGCACTCTAACATGATAGTTTCCGTGTGTCAAACGAAAATGTAAACTATTTTCTAGAGTTCCTCTTCTATTTAGGTTGTCGAAGAACGGAAACATTTTATTTCTCTTCATTGCTAAATTGCCTTATGTTTTGTACGAAGGATTTGGTTCCAAGTGCAGCAGCTATCTTCCCGGAACCCGCAGGCCTTCCGTTGAATCCACACCATGTCCAATATCCAAAACACCAAGGTTTACTGTTGCCTGCAGTAAAAAAGTAGGATGCAGTAAAACATTGTGGCATTGTCTTTCCCCCCCCCCCCCCTAAAGCTCCTTGTGATTGCAGGTAATGCGGCGGGCCACGCATTGCAGCTTTGTGTACCTCAACCTTTCATCGGCGGCGGACAAGCACCAATGGCGATGCCAAGCCATATTCCATATTTGCAAGCTGCTTTCCCGGTTAGTCGTCCCCTACAAATCCCTGGTTCTAATGCACTATTTAGCACCAACCTTCCATGAAATTGTCCCATTTTGTTTTGTTTGAAGGTAAATAGAAGTTTTGGCCTATAAATTTTCATCCTTTAAAAAAAAAAACTCGAAAGGGTTATCCATTTTGCTTTTGTTTAATTTTGTGAACAATAAGGCGCGAGTCCATAACAGCATAGTGTACTGAAAACCACAAAAATGAAAATGAAGAGAAGGGAAAGATTCATTTTTTTGTGTGTAGTTGTATATATGATATTTTGGTTTGATTCAACTTCTCTAAGCTACAAAAATTAACACATTCATCGTAGTATATTTTTATAATGCAATTTATTATAATATTCATCTTACATGAAAATAAATGTATATATATAATTAAATTAAAATAAAAGTTTCATTATATCAAGATAAATTTTATGTAAAACTAAAATTCATTTTTATAAATTACAAGCATGAGTTTACTATATTATGATACATATTATTGAAACTACAAATATTAATATAGTTAAAATTCAAAGTGTTCACTTTGAAGTGTGTGTATATATACATAGATAACATTAACCTAATATTTTAACTATACTAATTGAAAATTAAACAGCCTACACACCTAAAATTCAACATTTGATGCTACTACCAACTTGTTTAATCCTTATGTTATGTTGTACCATAAATGAGTATCAAGTTATTATTTTTCTTACTTGCATTTGATGCTACTACCACAATTCATGCTTAGTATTATCAGCAACAAACATCAATCGAATATAGCCTAAACATACTATCACACCACAACAATTTCACACATGAGAACTTGAAGTAAATTAAGGCAAGGTTTATTGATATATTAATTGGTTACAAGGGTGCAATACTCTTGAATTGAAATTCGTTTTTATTGACTATTTTAGAAGGATGATTAATTATTTTTTATTCAAGATAATTACATAATTTTTAAATGATGAATTGTTACAAATAAAGCTTACGTTTTTGTATACATAGTGTTGGAGCAATTGTGATAGTGTATTCACATGGAGATGTTAAACTATTTTTTCTCAAATATAAAATAAAAATTTTCAGCTCCTAAATTGTGAAATTAATTATGAATTATTTTTACCGTACCAAAGATAATTCTTGAGAAATTTATAGAGGAAACATTCCAGTTACAAATTTGTTTGTCAAAGATCATTTTGAGTTGAAGGTGAAATTGAAAAAGATAGAATGAAGAGACATGATTAAGAAGATAAGAGATTATTACTATTAATTCTTTATTACTATTAGTATATCATTTTTGAGATTAACATAGTATAATCTTCATCTATGTTTAGAATTAACAGATTCAAGAAAGATGTTAATTCAAATGAAGTGATTGTCATGTTAGATACCAAGACCATTTTGGTAAAGATGATGATTCAAAGATTGAAGTTGCTAGCATAGTGGGAATGAATGAGTCTATTTGGAAATTATGATTCTACCTACGAGGTCAGGTTATTTAGATTTGTTGTGTGCTAATTCATGCTTTATAAGTACATGAATTAGTATTAACGAGCCATTAAGTTAGTTTTTAAAACTTAATGAGTATATTATGAAATGAGATAAACCACTAGTAAAGAATAAGATAGTAAAAATATACTAAAGCTAAGACTATAGTGAGTTCAAGCATAATTTTTTAATAGACCGTAATTAAAGAAAGAGACAATTTAAAAATGAACAATTGGAAATCATTATGAAAATGCATGTATAGAATTGGTTCCGTGAAAGACCTGGTATTTAAGCGTGCTTAGTGCACCACCTCTCTTTCATGGTAATCTACCTAGTGCATTTTTTTAATTGCTCAATTTTACATAAATACTAAGATGAGTTAAGCTCCCTTTTTTGTGAATGATAAAGAGGCAAGGCTTTATCTAGTTACAATAGATCTGGTATAAGCAGGTCCTAATAGGCCCCTATCCAACAAATGAGTGATAGACATCAGGGCAATAGAGAACGAATACATCCTGTAGCTACGTGGTAAGTAAGCTTGGCCATGCCATCGACTACCATATTTCCTTCACGTGGAAACCAAATAAAATCTATGGACCACTATGGTTGAAAAGAGCGGTTATCGTCGGACAAGAGAAAGTAAATCATGCCCAGCTTTTGAATTATTGATTAATTGAATAGTTTGAAGGCTATCATTTTACACCTGCATGCGATGAACGTCACGTCTCCATGTAATATGCAGACTATAACAAATACTACACAGTTCAGCATGGAGAGGACTTGCAACGTCAATCGTTTTGTGGAAGCCGGTTACCCATGTTCCATTACTGGTCAGATCACTCTACCAACAGATCTAAAACCACTCATTGCTTCAATTACAACATCTATGTAATACCTCGAAAATTAAATTAGTAGTTTTGGTATAATGTTTGGGCTTAGAGTGCTTTGGTAAGCTTAATTTAAACAATTGGGTTAAGGGTGGCTTGGAATTGGGCTTAGGTTGAGCCTAAAAGTTGATAAAGAGGGGATTTTTATATTGGGGCCAAAAAAGAAAGGACTAAAGTAGTAGCTAACCCCTAAAGTTTTGAAAAGATGAATTGCATTTAGTTTTAGTGATGTCAACAGGGTGAAAGGCTGAAAACTTACCTCCTCATTTTTTTCACCAGTTGTCTTCTTCTTCTTCTTCTCATTGTGTTCTTCTTGTGGTAACAAAAGGTGAGAACGTGTTTGTCCAGTAAAGCTAGTCCAAATTTAAAGAGGTAAGAACGCTAATATCTTTTCCTAGAGCGTCAATTATACCCCAACATTTCAAGGTTTGGTTATGGTGGCCAAGGTGAGGGTTTTTAGAGAGGTTTTGAGTTCTATTAATCCTTTTCATCACTTTTGGTTAGTAAGAGAAGTTGGAGAAAGCTCCAAAGGAAAGAACAAATAGAAGTTGGTGCTTGGGTGACCCTTGTGGACGTTTCCATAAGGTATTAGTGAGGTAACACACACTTAACCTATCTATATTGCATGTTAGGCATGAAATATAATTGCTTGCTTGTTTGAGTTCTATGAAGCATATGGTTGCATTTTGGGTTTTGACATGAATTTGGATATTTTATGTTATTCATACATAATGGATTGACCTTTTATGATACTTGAACTCACATAAGCTTTAAATAACATTTGGGGACCTTGGGAGGGTTTTAAGAGAGAGTTGAGAAGCTCTACTCGTGAAAAAAATGGTTTTCTGGGTTGAGGGTATTGGTACTGTATAAACAATACCGATACTGTTTGTCGAAGAGGGCAAAAATCAAGGTGATTTTAAGAGTTAGTATAAATACTGTTCATCAGAGAATCAATACTCGAGGCCTAGTATCGATACAAAGCAAGGTAACTAGAATCACAGTATGCTAATTTGGTACTGGTACTTAAAGAAGTATTGATACCCCAGGTAAGGGTATCGATACCTAGGTATTTTTATAATCATTGAATGCATTTTGGGTATCAATGCCCAAAGCAATACCAATACAGGAGTGGAGTATCGATAATCCTAGTAGAAGTATTGATACCAGGGCTGTGTCTTAGATTCCAATAAGCCCATTTGGTACCGATACTCAGGGCAATATCAATACCATCAGAGACGCATTATTTATACTTTAGGGTGAGCATCGATACCCTCATAAGCATAAGGACTATAGGTCTTGTAGATCTTAAGACCGAGAAAAAAAGGTTGTTATCGATAAGGAATGCTAATAAAATACTACAAGTGGTAACATTAATGATTGTGTGATAATATAAATCACATGAGGAAAGACTTCATAAAACTGACGACAAAGGACACCCGAACTTAGGACTGTAAATGAGTTAAGTTGATCTTGACTATTGCTGAGTTCGATTCGACTCAAAAACTCTGAAATAGAGCTTGCCTCGACTCAAAAACTTGTGAGCCTATTTTCAAGCTTGACTCGAACTCGAAATTATGGACTAAAGCTCGTAAAAGCTCGAATTAAAAAAAATCTTAAACTTAACTTGATTGAGGCCTCAAAATCAAAATCAAACCTGAACATTAAATACATGAAAAATCTTATATTGTATTTAAAAAAATCAAGACATAAATGTTAATGTTATTAATAAGTTATTTTTTTAAATAAAATCTTATAAATTATATTTCTGAGCTGCTCACGATATTTTTCGATTTGAGTATCAAGTAGCTCATTATGGCTCGTTAAGAACTCAAGTCGAGTATTTATCAAACTTTGACTGAGTTGATCTCCAGTAGCTCACGATATGCCTTGTCGCATTGATAGTCATACCCGAGCTACTTGAATGTATGACGATTGTCTGATATATATATATATATGAATATCCACATATGATCTCAACAATACTAAGGCACTTTAGTATCAGTGTGAATACACTTCCATATCAGTGCTAAGACACTTCCGTCCTAGTGCTATGGCACTTTAGTTAATTGATGTCAATGTCTCCCTACCCTGTAACTCCGTATATGAATGATTGTTTGATTTTGATCAATGTTTGGTGTACCGCGATGCTTATGACTATATTTGATAGCATACACATTTATGATAGCAAGAAGTATCATTGTGTTATTTGTGTGGCACTGAGCTTGTAGTTCAGCGTTCGAAATTTGTTTATGTCCTTAGGTTTAGGCGTCATTAGGAGAAACTTATTGCCAGTGTGCAGACTTCCAGATTCAGTCTGGTCTAAGAGTACATCTCAGTTATTTTAGAGGGCATGTAATTCACACACTTTATATATAATTGAGTCGTAAATCTTTTGACAAAGTTTGATGTATTTTTTAGAAGTTACTTTGGGAGCTCCTTTTATTGTAAACTTAAACATTTTTGTTTTAACAATGGATGTTTGTTTTAACCTTATGGATTCTATGTTAAATCAAATTTGGGTGTTACATTTAGTGGTATTATAGCTTCAGGTTCAATCATTCCTAAAATTCACTGGCTAATATTAATAAGTGTTAGTGAGGTGCATGCTCTTAGAGTGTCAAGAGTACTTAAAATTATTTGTAATAGAGAGTGATTATTAATTCTTTGAATT